GTTTATTGTGTTTCCTTTTCCCAATTCCTAATTTCTTAATTGTCCCCAAAGAGACAAAGGAACAGATGTCTATCCCCTGGCCCTCCTCTAGAGCAATGCTACTCAGAGCACTAATCCATGATAAAATAAGGAGCTTGTCTCAGAATATAAGTGAACGCGCTGCTTCCTTCATTGAGAAGGCTTTGCTATAAAAAATATCAGCTGAACTAAATGGTGCATTTATTGACATTATCAATTTACATTCTGGGGCCAGCTCTCTATCTCTTTGGTGCAGGGAACAAAAGCCAGTAGGAGACTTACTCTCTGAGGACCATTGCTCTAGAGGGCCCTGGAACTCACTTCCTTCACAAGATCATCTTCTAAATTTGCTGCCACTTGTTGAAAAATGAGAGTATTTCTTCCTGTTTTAATTTTCCAAGAAAGAGGTGACTGTTCCCCAAGCCTTTGAGTCCATGCTTAGTTTCAGAAGGCATCAGAAACCTACTTAATGGCCAGCCCAATAATCACATGCAATTCCACAAAACTAAGAGATACATTGGAAGATACTAAAAAAAGAAGGATTCAGATTTGAACTGTCGCCAGACGGATAACAGCATTTCACTTCCATTTGAAATCAATTTGTTAGTCTCAGGGCACTTCTGCCTAAGCATTGTACCATCCTGTAGGGAAAATTGTTGCTTCTGATGGAGAAAGAGACAGACACATAAAACAAAATTCCAAACTCTGTGTAGAGACATTGTTTCCCCCAAGTTCTGATACAGCCATAGAACAAAGAGGAAAACAAATCCTTAAGCTGAGCACATTCAGAAATAACACCATAATAATAGAAATACATCTTCATGTTACATATTCACCAGTAAAACTGATTCAAATTTTTAAAAAAACCGTACCTTTCATCATTCATATGCTTTTTTCTTAAGGAGAAACAAGTGCTATACTTCAAATGAGTTAAGCATAATTCTAACTTTGTAAGGCAAACTCTAAACACTGACCATAGGCAGAGAGAATTCCGTAAGTCATATCAGTGGTTATACATGCATCCTTCTTACCTCACCCAAAACAGTGATCCTCACCCTTAGCTGCACATGAGAATCCTCCTGGAAGCTTCTAGAATCCACCATGCCCCGTCTGCACAGACAAATGACATCATAATCTCTAGGGGCGGTTCCAAGTCATCAGTATTTTTAGAACTCCCCACACAATTCCAATGTGCATCCAAGGTTAAGAATGACTGACATAAAAGGTATTGAGAGAACTGGTAGGCCAAAGGTGTGGTGGTTGCCAAGTCCTGACAAAAAAAGAAGTGTCCTTTACCCTGGCAACCCTTAGGGCACTAGCTAAGGAGAACCTTCCAGTGTCTCTTTTGTTACTGCAAATCCCAAGTTTACCATTAAAAAGCAAGAGAATAAGGGAGGAGAGGAAATATTTGTGACTTATTGTGAAGATTAAATGAAAATGTGCATGCATTGTTACAGTTTGGATTCTCGATGAGCCAAAAGTGCCCACTCATTCCTGCTCTTCATTTCTTATAAATCTAGTTAAGCTATAGAACTTCTCAAAAAAGGATAGTTACAGAAAACATGAAGAGATGCAGCACATTCGAAGGGATTTTCCCTTCAACTTTGTCTCGAAGATATGCAGCTACAAGTCCTACCAGAGTTGACAAAAAAAGCTAAAATTTTGTTACGCTTCTATTCCTTTCTACTCAAGTTTCTGTCATCATTCCAGAATGATGTTAACAATCATCACACTTCAATTTAAGGCAGCAACTCGCAATGTGTGGTCTGCGGGTTCCTGGGCATCTTAAAACCTTTCCAGGAGGTCAACAAGGTCAGAGCTATTTTCCTTATTTGCTTTTTTCACTGTGCTGAGATCTGTACCAGTGGCACAGACGTAATGGTGAGTGAAACTGCAGGCACTTCGGCATGAATCAAGGCAGTGTGTTTCTTTGCTTTCACGCACTCACAGTAAAAAAATAAAACAAAAAAATCTACTTTATTTAAGAAGGTCCTTGAAGCAGTGAAATTATTAATGTTATTAAAACTTGACCTTTAAGTAACATGTTTTTAATTTATCTTTATTGTTGAAAGTATTACAGATGTCTCCTTTTTTCCTCTTCACCCCACTCCCTCCCCCTCCCCAGGCCTTCCCCACACTATTTCTGTGTCCATGGGTTATGTATATATGCATAGAAGTTCTTTGGTTAATCTCTTCCTACCCCCCTAACCCCCTTCCCTGTGAAATATGTGTCTTTAAATATTTTTTGTGTATACCAAAGTACAAGGGTTGCCTCAAGGAAAAGCACTTTTGCATTTGGGTCACAAATTGAACTGGCTGCATTTTTCACCATTTTTTATTTTAAAGAATGAATGACAGACACACCATAGTTATTCAGGCTTGAGGACTGGGCAGACATTTTCTCAAAAATGAACAAAGTGAGCCAGCCTATCGCTTCAAGGAAAACAACTGACAATGATAAAATTTGAGCTTTAAAGCAAAAATTTCAATTTTGAAAAACTTGTATACACTGTTGTGAGTGTGACAGATTCCCAATACTTAGAGACTTTTCTCATAAGATTGGTGATGACCTGAATTAATGTGACTCTTTTTGGTATTGTATAACAAATTTTATGGACTTTTGGAAGAGCTACTTGACTGAATATTTCTTAAATGACCAATGCATGAAATATAAATCGTGTATGAGTAAAAGATCCATTCAAAGTGCAACATATACCAATGTGGGAAGGGGGTTCGCAGAGATCTGTGGGTGGATCTCTTGCTGGACTCCTGGAGCAGAAAGCAGCTCTCTTTGTCTTCCCTTCCCTCCCACTTTTTTGTTTTGTTTTGAGAAGCATATTTAGTTTTTCTAAAAATATGTTATCTATGAGTTTATTTTTTCTAAATGAGTTGAAATATAATTTAACTTTTTTTCTCAGTTTTAATTTATTTTCTTTTTATTGAGGCATAATTGGCATGTAACATTATATTAGTTTCAGATATACAACATAATGAGTTTATATTTGTACATATTATGAAATGATTACCATAATAAGTCTAGTTCACATCCATCACCATACATAGCTGCAAGCTTTTTTTTTCTTTTTGCTGTACATTCCATTCCATGACTTATTTATTTATAGCTGGAAGTTTGTACCCCTTGACACCCATCACCTCTTTCACTTACCCCACCCCCTCTGGCAATCATTAATCTGCTTTTTGGTTGTTGAGTGAAAGCATTTGTTAAATCTTCTTGATGTATTGATCCCTTTATAATTATATGACCTTCTTTGTCTCTTGTTACCATTTTTGGCTTGCCATCTTTTTTACGTAACATAAGTATGGCTATGCTGGCCTTCTTTTGACTTTTGCTTGTTTGGAATATCATCCATCCTTTCACTTTTAGCCTATGTGTATCTCTAGAGCTGAAAATGAGGCTTCTATAGATAGCATATGCTTATGTCATGGTTTTTTAATCCATCCAGCCACTCGGTGCAATTTGATTGGTGAGTTTAATTCATTTATATTCATGGTGATTGTTGATATGTAAGGATTTACTACTGCCATTTTACATTTTGCCTTCAGCTTATTTTATCTCTCCATTGTTTCTTTTTCTTTCTGTTTCTACCTTTGTAAGTTGGTGATTTTCCATGGTGATTTCCCTTTTTAATGTTTTGTGTCTCTGCTCTAGATATTTGATTGCAGTTACCGTGAAGTTTACATAATACATTTATTGGATAAAATAGTCATTTTTCTGCTGATAGAAATTTATCTTCATTTTCCTATAATGGTTCCACTCTTTTACTCCTCCACATTTATATTTTTGATGTCACAAATTATCTCTTTATGCTATTTTTTTACTGAATTATAGTAGTCATAGTTATTCTTAATGCTCATTTTTTAAAAACTTTGTGCTATAATTGTTATTAAAATAAGAAAATGCCAATCTCCAGCAACCAAACCCAAAGACATTGATAAAGAACTCAACATAGCTGTTATTAAGAATCAAATTAATTTGTTTATCTTTTAGAATTTCATTCTCTTTGGTAATGTACTGCTTTTGTTCATTAATTTGAGCTCTAAGAATAGCTCTAAGGCAATTCAATGAACTTAGGAATCAAATTTGTTTAATTTACTATTCTAAAATAGAGTTAAAGTTTTCTAATTCTATTTATCACCTTAATCAGAGTTTTGTGTACTTCATCTTTTTGTTTCAGCTTGAAGAGCTCCTTTAAACATTTTTTTGCAAGGCAGGTGTCATTGAATTTCTTAATAACAGCTATGTTGAGTTCTTTATCAATTAGATTGCAATATTCCATGTCTTTGGGTTTGGTTGCTAGAGATTGGCATTTTCTTATTTTAATACCACATAATCATGATTTTTCATAGTGATTGATAAAATATGCCTCTGTTGATACATTTGAAGTAGGCAACACCTTTCTTATTTAAGTAAAGCTTTGTTTACTTTTATTCTAACAGTTCAACAGGTTAGTAGTTAGGAGCCTTTCTTTTGTTTTCTAGAATGTGGCACTATAGCAAAAAGTTTTTATTTCTCTTATGGAAGCTGACTCCTTAAGGTTGGAATGTGCACATAATAAAGATGGCATGGAAAAGAAGAAAAAGAGGTGGTGCTAGAGTGGGCAGCGATGTGTGTTCACTTGGGGCTTTGGGTTTACCCAGGGCCTGTTAGGGAGATATTTGAGTGGGAAGGGGGTTCGCAGAGATCTGTGGGTGGATCTCTTGCTGGACTCCTGGAGCAGAAAGCAGCTCTCTTGGTCTTCCCTTCCCTCCCTCCAGTCAAGGAGGTCTCTCTTCAGAAATCTGGGGTGTTGCTGAAGAGCCATGGGGCCATCCAGCTGCAGCCAAAGTGGCCTGGCAGACTTTCACTCACCTCTTTCACTTTCTACTTCCTGCGCTAGAGACAGGTCGCTGCTGCCATTTTTTCCATACTTAAAACACCACTAAGAATAAGTCCTAAAACCACTTGACAACATGAGTTTTAATAAATTTGCTCCAAAATATTTTATTAGTAAGTTTTATGTTAAAAAAGATTGAAGAAAAGTTACTTATCACACTGAATAACATATTAAAAGCATGTGTATGATTGTGGTTTCTAATTTCTCTACAAAATTAACCAGCCATCATGGAGTAAAGAACGTTGGAAATAGTAAACATAGTCGTATCATTTTTTGGAAAACTTCAAAGTACAAAGAGTATTGTGCTAATTTTTAAGTGCAAAGAAAGGTCATAATAAAATAGACTTTAAAAATTACAAATAAAAATCTGTACATCAAGGATATTTTTAAGGCCTTTCAGTGTGCATAACACTATATAGAAAGAGAAGAGAGACTGCAGAGAGAGGAACCATAACATCAGGTGTTACAGGTCTGGCCCATTTCAGCTTGCAGGATCATCTCCTCTTTTCTCAAGGGGAAAGTGTCAATCAGGTTGAAGAGGGCCACAGGTGTCACCAGGGAGACATAGCGCTCCTTGTCCATGCCATGCTTATCTACTAGTACCATGCTGAAGGAATAGAGTGGGATTCGTAGCAACAATCTAGGGAAGAAAAAGAGAAGAATATGTCAAACCTGACTCCCAAGGGTTCTGGTGGACCAACCAGAGCCATATGGTGACACAGTGTGCAGAGAAAAGCTAACTACCACAAAGGACTAAATCAACCTTTAGACCCTTGCCACTCCAAGTGTGGTCTCTTGGACCAGCAGCATTACATGGGATCTTGTTAGAAATGGAGAACCCCACATTCCACCTTAAACCTACTGAATTAGATAGAATCTGCATTATTAGCAAGATCCCCAGATGCCTGGCATGCGCATAAAAGGTTGAATAGCACTGCTTTAGATTATAATGGTCAGGAACTCATCAGGCCTGCAATGGTGCTATATACCTATAGTTGCTACAAGTCATGTAAAACAATACTAACAGATATTTTGCATTGAATTGGAGTCAATCCAACTTTGCAGACTAGGTTTGCACAACCACATACATGCAAGATATAGGTCAGTGGTTATCAACAGGATTGACTTTTCCACACAGGGGACATTTGGCTATGTCTGGACACATTTTTGATTGTCGCAGTGGGGTAGAGGTCAGGGATGCTGCTTAACATCCTCCAATGCACAGGACTTTGTAAGTCTGGTCCATTCAGTAGCCAGCACAAGGTAGCATAGTTAGAGGGGATTGAACTTGGTCTACACCTTAGGTATATTGATTTGGTTAATTATAATTTATACCTCAAATAATTCCAAAAAGAATTTGAAGTGGTTTCAAAAGTCTGATTTTTTTTGTACTCTATTTCACTAGAATTCAAACAGTTAAGAATATGATTTTTGTATCAATACAAACAGGTTTAGATGAAGAAAAACAAAGAAAGCAAACAATGGATAAGCTGAACCCAGTGAAAAAAATGAGCCTGCTCAGTCGCTTTTCCAGATTTTGTTTTTTAGTTTAGATATCTTGAGATTGTGTGTGAGGCGGGACACATACTGCCATCTGGATTTCAAATAAAATGTTTTTTCTCACACAAATTGATCAAATTAAAAATTCATTCAAAATCTAAACTGACTACACTTTCTTCTGCCTTTTAAGAGGGATTTTCAGGGAAGATGGATGGGCAGCTAAATTGCTAATCCACTTCCAGTGACTAGAAATAAGAGAGACAACATTACAGTGTCTCTGCCAGGTTTCCTGCAGTGGTAAGAGGGGAGGTCGGGTGTCGATGCTTTCTAGAGGTGCTTTAATGAGTCTTTGAACTTGTGAATGTAGACCGTGAAGTCAGGTGAGAATGGCGAGCTAAATTGCTCTGTATCTTTAAGAAGAGAAGTATCCAGTCTTTTGGTGGTGGGGAGAGGAGAGAGAAATCCTAGCGAGGGGCGGGGGGGTTCCAGGAAACAGAANAAGAGGGTGGGGGGGGTTCCAGGAAACAGAAGAATTGAGAAGTAAGAGGGTGGGGGGGGTTCCAGGAAACAGAAGAATTGAGAAGTAAGAGGGTGGGGGGGGTTCCAGGAAACAGAAGAATTGAGAAGTAAGAGGGTGGGGGGGGTTCCAGGAAACAGAAGAATTGAGAAGTAAGAGGGTGGGGGGGGTTCCAGGAAACAGAAGAATTGAGAAGTAAGAGGGTGGGGGGGGTTCCAGGAAACAGAAGAATTGAGAAGTAAGAGGGTGGGGGGGGTTCCAGGAAACAGAAGAATTGAGAAGTAAGAGGGTGGGGGGGGTTCCAGGAAACAGAAGAATTGAGAAGTAAGAGGGTGGGGGGGGTTCCAGGAAACAGAAGAATTGAGAAGTAAGAGGGTGGGGGGGGTTCCAGGAAACAGAAGAATTGAGAAGTAAGAGGGTGGGGGGGGTTCCAGGAAACAGAAGAATTGAGAAGTAAGCAGGTCTGGAGTGAGAAAAGGGCCAAGCAATGTTGTGCTCTCTGAAGCCTGTGGGTAACCAACGAGGATTTGGAGCCTTTGTTGTTACAGTGCTTATGAGGCTAGGATGGAAGCCGCTCCCACGGTGCCACCTGTAACCATGCACATTCATCATGTGAGCTCTGTGCCTTAATGGACATAGATACTAAGACAGAAAACCACCAGGGGAAGGTGTGAGTGGTCAGATTAGCAGGCTAGCAACAAGCACAGAAATGCATCCCACCATGGCCAAGAGACCACAACTCTTGGGGATGGGTGATGAGACACCCCAACAAGATGAGCGCTGGTGCCAGGGGTATGTCCTACTTACACAAATGTCTGTTATCAGACTGAAATGAGTTCTTCCTGGAGAATCTTCTAGAGAACTCTGCAGACTCAAAAATACTACGGGAGGTTCTGGTTCAAGATGGTGATGTAGGAAGATCCTGAACTCACCTAATCCCACGGACACACTGAAACTGCAACTACATGTGGAACAATTTCCTCTGGGGGGGAAAAAACCCTAAAAACTAGCACAGTGACTCTGCATATTGGGTAAGCAAGAAGGAGACCACATCTAGCTGGGTAGGAAAGGCTGAGACACAGTCTCACTATAAACCCCACCCCAGCATGGTGGCCCACATTTGGAGGAAACTCAAAACGGAGAGCTTTTCCCTGAGGCGCGAAGGGTTTGTAGCCCACACCAGGCCCTCCAACGTTTAATGCCTGCACCTGAGAGATTAGCCCTCTCAACATCTAGTTTTGAAAACCAATGGGGCTTGAGTCCATGAAACCTGCAGGGCTGTTGCAAACTGAGAAATGGCCCCTAGAGGGCCCGCATGTAGACTCCCTGGCTCCAAGGCACAGTGCAGAAGCAACCGTTTGAAAACCACGCAGACTTTGTGCAGGCGGATCATTTGATCATGTTAAAGCACCAGACTGAGTAGCAGGGGCCTGACCAGTATTCTTCAGCAACAAAGGCTGGTAAGCACCGTTCTGTGCTTTCCCTCTGCCTTGCTAAACCCAGCAAACACCATCTTTCCTTTTTTCCTTCGTTTTATTTTTTTTATTATTTTGCCAGTGGCTGCCATCTCCAGCTAGTGGGTGGCATCACGGTGCCATCCCTTTGCCTTGCTAAAGCCAGTGGAACCTCTGTCTTTCTCTCAGTCTTTGTCTCCATCTCGGTCTCTCAGTCTCTGTCCCTTCCTGTCTGCTTTTTCTCTTTTTGCCCCCTCTCTCCATCTCCATTTCTTTCTGTCTCTCAATCTCTTCATCTCTCTATCTCTGTCTCGCCATCTCCATTTCTCAGTCCCTTGGTGTCTGTTTCTCTTAGTCTGTCTGTCTCCTACTGTCCCTGTCTGTCTGTGTGTGTCTCTGTACCTCCATCTCTCTGTGCCTTTCTGTAACTCTGTCCATCTTGGTCCCTCACCTCTGTCTAAGTCTCCATGTCTCCACTTCCCTGAGTTTCCTCTCTGCGTCTCCTCACCTCCAAATCTTTGCTCACTGGCTCTCACACGCTCCCCCTTCCCATTCTGTGTGTCTTGTGGACCCTGAGAATCAGAATATACCTACTAAAAAGGGCTTCCTATGGCTAATGGGGCTCAAATTAATAACAACAACAACAACAAAACCACAGAGCCTAGCAGCCATTTCTACACAGGGGCCTCTCGTGCCAACTTCCCTTCAGGGAGAAGAAGCCTGCACTGAACTGCCTGCCTGCACTGTGTTTGTGCCACCCGAGCCAGGCATGATAAAGCAGTTCCCGGAATCCGATTTCAACCAACAGAACTGAAGCTTTCCCTGCCTCATCAGAGCTACTATCCCCATCAGCTTCTTCATCCATCTACCAATCAAAGTGGCTCCATTAATCTTTTCAAAGAGCCAGCTCTTTGTTGTTTTAATATTTTGTCCAGTCTTTTTGTTCTCTATTTCATTCAGTTCTGCTCTAATTTGTATTTCCTTTCTTCTGCTGACTGTGGGTTGCTTTTGTTCTTCTTTTCCTAGTTCTTTAAGATGTGATGTTAGGTTGTTTACTTGGGATTTCTCTTGTTTTCTCGGATAGGCTTGTAAGGATATCAACTTCCCTCTTGTTACTGCTTTTGCTGCATCCCAGAAGTTTTGATACATTGTATTGTCATTCTCACTTGTCTCTATATATCTTTTGATCTCACCTTTTCTTTCTTCTTTGACCCAGTCATTTTTTTAGTAGTATGTTGTTGAATCTCTATGTGTTTGTGGGTTTCTTTACTTCCCTTTTGCAGTTGATTTCTAATTTCAAAGCACTGTGGTCAGAGAATAGGCTTGGTATAGTTTCAATCTTCTTGAATTTGTTGATGCTAGTTCTGTGACTCAACACATGGTCTATCCTTGAGAATGTTCCATGTGTACTGGAAAACAATGTATTATCTGATGTTCTGGGATGAAAGTCTCTGTAAATGTCAATTAAGTCCATTTAGTCTAATGTGTCATTAAAGAATAATATTTCTTTATTGATTTTCTGTTTGGATGATCTGTCTAGAGCTGTCAATAAAATATTTAGGTGTCCAAGTATGACTGTGTTTTTGTCAGTTTCTCCCTTTAATTCTGTTAGTAGTTGCTTTATGTAGTTCGGTGCTCCCTGGATGGGTGGATATATGTTAAGAAGTGTTGTTTTCTTGATGTAGTGTCCCCTTTATCGTTATAAAATGTCCATCTTTGTCTCTTTTACCTTTGTTATCTTGAGATCTATTTTGTCAGATATAAGTATGGCTACACCTGCTTTTCTGTGGATAGTATTTGTTTTGAGAATCATTTTCTACCCTTTTGGTTTGACTCTTTGTCTTTGCAGCTTAGATGTGTCTCATGAAGACAGCTTATAGTTGGGTTTTGTTTTCACATCCAATCTGCTACTCCTGTGCCTTTTTATTGGTGAATTCAGTACATTTACATTTAGGGCAATTATTGACATAGTATTTTTATAGCCATTTTATCTTTTGTTTACTGGTAGTTCTGTGCCTCCATTGGTTCTTTGCCTTTGTGTTTCTGTCTGTTATTTTTGTTTGGTGGTATTCCATACTTCTTTCCCATGTTTCCTCTTTTTCTATGCGAAGTGTCTCGGTTTTGGGTTGTGTGTGTAGTTACCATTAGGTTTATGAAAAATGAAGTTTCACATATACAGTGGTCCTTTCTCTGCTCTCCATCCTCCTTTGCAAATTCTGACTTTTACTCCCTCCTCCTTTATGTTTTTGTTGTCACAAATTATCCTCGTTTATGCTATAAGTTTGTTGGTGATTTTACTGTTAGTTTTGTGACCTTTTGTTCATTGTTTTATGTAGAATAACCTCCCTGAGTGTTGCCTGCAATGGATGTGTAGCAAATTTTGAAGATTTGGCACTGATCTCAAAGAAAGTTATAGATGTAAATACAACAGGACAAAATTAAATAAATAAAAGCAATTAAATGTTGAAGGTTACCTGGAATCAATACTGAATAGAAAGATATCAGGGACCATGATCAGAAAAAGTATATTTATAGGGGAGAAAATTTAAGGACAGGGCGTCCCCCTACCTGAGCTGCAGAGCTAGGGCTGGAGGCATAATCTTTGCTCCTATCCTGCCAATGAGGGTCGGGAACACACCTACCAGCTCTACCACAGTGATATGTCGAAGATCCAGGTTACACTGTGCTTGCTGGAAAAAAAAACAATAGGGGAGGTGTGAGCATGGCTGAAGAAAGAGACGTCCATGTGAAACTACAGATTGAAGGAAACAGAATTGGTCTGTTTTTGGAAGTTTATCTGCCCACTCCACACTGTCCTAAAATTTGAAAATTGGGTGAAACCAGTGGCTATAAAACCTTAATACCTTCCTAGAAGAATCATTCAGAAATGGCTTGGCAATGGAATTTTGAAAACCTAAGTAAATAGCAGTCTCTGTCTTTCCAGATGGGGTAAGATCTTACATGAGCCAAATTTCCTAGAAAGTGTCCAAGAATACCTCCAGAGGATTCTAAATTTGTCTTTGCAAGGAGAGAAAAATATTTCCAGAGTACCCCTATCTGACCTGTATCTAC